TTTATTATTTATTTTTTTTTTGGTGGAACTGTGGATTGAACTCAGACCCTTGTATTGCCAGGGAAGCGCTTACTCTACTGAGCCAACTCCCCAGCCCTGTTAGTATTTTATTGAGGATTTTTGTATCTATATTCATTAGAGAGATTGGCCCGTAGTTCTCTTTTTCTGTTGGATTTTCTTTGGTTTTGGAATCAGAGTAATACTTGCCTCTAGGAATAAATTTGGGAGAATTGCTTCCCTTTCAATTTCATTGAAGAGTTTGAGAAAAGTTGGCATTAAATATTCTCTAGATTTCTTGTAGAATTCTGCTGTGAATCCATCAAGACCTGGAATTTTCTTTGTTGGTAGGTTTTTTTTTTTTTTTTTTTTTTTTTTTTTTTTTTTTTTTTTTTTTTACTACATTTTCAACTCTGCTTCTTGTTATTGGGTTATTTGGAGTTTGTATATCTTCTTGACTCAGCTTTGGCATTTCATATGTACCTAGGAAACTGTCCATTTCCTCTATGTTTTCTGTCCTGTGAGAGTAAAGATTTTGGAAATAGGTATTGATGATCTGAATTGTTGTAGAGTCTGTAGTGATTTTGCCCTTTTCATTATTCCATGAATTTTGGTTTTTTTCTTTACTTCTTTTGATTAGGTTGGCTAGGCGTTTATCAATTTTATTTATTCTTTCAAAGAACCAACTTTTTAATTCATTTATTCTTTGTATTGGTTTTTGTATTTTGGTACAGAGTCTACAGGGTCTCACTATGTAGATTGGACTCATAGTGATTCTATTTTCAGCTTCCCAAGCGCTGAGATTACAGGTGTATGCCACCATGACCAGTCTCTATTCTTTGTATTGTTTTCATCTCCAATGCATTAATTTCTGATCTAATCTTTATAATTTCCTGTCTTCTTTTGGCTTTGGTTCATATCTGTCTGTCTGTCTGTCTGTCTGTCTGTCTGGCTTTGGTTCATGTCTGTCTGTGTCTGTCTGTCTCTCTCTCTCTCTCTCTCTCTCTCTCTCTCTCTCTCTCTCTGACTCTCTCCTCTCACTCTCTTTGGTGAACTCATCTTGTAACCCAGGTTGGCCTTGAACTCTCAAGTGATTGTCCTGCCTTGAGTGCTGGTATTATAGGTATGTGCCACCACACCTGGCTCTGTTTGTGTCTTCTTATTCAAAGTAAATCTTAGTAAGTAAGTAAGTAAATATTCTCTCGATATTTTGTTTTGTTATCCTATCTGATGATCTTTACATTTTGATAGAAGTTTTTAATCCTTTTACAGTTAATACATCTGTTGATGTGGTTGTACAAAGGTCTTCTATTTTGTTATTTTCTTTTTGTTCAAAATCTGTTTATTTGTGTGCAGCATCTTTCCCACTCCTACTTCCTGCCTTTTATTTAGATACTCTATTTTAATTCTTTATTGACTTTTTAGGTATATATTTACATTTTCAAAAACTGGGTTACTCTAGGTTTCATAATTTCTGTATTAGAGGAGTCTAGCCCTATTGCCCAGGCTGACCTTAAATTTGCTTTCTTCGTGCTACCCTCTCAGTTAACTGGAATTTGGTACATACACCTGGACCTAGACACTATGCCTGTTTCCCTCAGGTTTATAATATGTATCTGAATCATAAAGTCATACTATTATACTTGGAATTAATGTTCAATTACATAGATTACTGATAGGAGCTTTTCAGTTTTATATTTACATTTACATATACACGTCCCCATCTTTATGTGTTACATTTTTGTTTTGATATAGTGGTCTTATCTTTACATACTATATTCTGTATCACTTCTACGTGTTATAAATTTACAAATGCATAGTTTTTTAATTGCCTTGTAACATTTTAAAAAAATTAAGAATAGAAGATATGTAGTCTAATATTTATCCTCACATTTACCTTTTCTGTCTTCCTTTCCTTTTTTTTTTTTTGTATTTTAGGGAAGGGTCTGCAGAGTGTTCAGGGTCTCACTTCTAGCTCTGACTCATAGTGATCTGCCTGTTTACAGCCTCCCAAGAGCTGGGATTACCAGTGCGCACCACCATGCCCAGTCTCAGTTGCCATCTCAGTGTATGCTGGGGGCGAGGCTGGCATGGCAGGCCCTGGGGATTGAACCCCCGGACCCTGCTTCTACTTGCAGGTGCTTTAATCCGTTGAGCTATTTGGCCAGCCCTAATTTTTTTGTTTTTTTTTAGTACCAGGGATTGAACTCAGAACCTTAGGTTTGCCAGACAGGTGCATAAGCCACTGAGCTATCTCCCCAGCCCATTTCTTTCCTTTCTGTACTCCATATTGGCATTTCCTTTTACACTGAAAAATTTCCTTAAATTCTTCTTACAGGATGGATCTGCTAGGGATGATTTTTCTAGGCTCTAATGTATCTGAACAGCATTTTCTTTGCATCGGATAGTTTGATTTTGTGTCTTTTGGTTTGTTTTTTTTTTTTTTTTTTTTTTTTTTTTTCCTTTTTTTGGGGGGGTGGGGATGGGGATTGCAGGGAGTACTAGGACTTCAAATCTGGACCTCAAGCTTGCCAGGCCAGCACTATATCACTGATTTCTTTTCTCAGGGAGAGCTTCATTGAATATAAAATTCTACGTTTAGATGTTTAAAAAATTACCAGCACTTTAGATATGTTTAGTACCTTCTTCTAAGTTTCTAAGCAAGAATAGTAACTTTGTTTTTTTGTAACATGTGATGTTTTCTAGTTGAATGCAGCATTTTCTTTGCATTGGATAGTTTGATCACAGTATATCTAGGAGTGAATTTCTTAATAGTTGACTTGCGTGGGATTTATTGAGCTTGCTGAATTTTTCAGTTAATTTTTTAAGCTAATTTTGGAGAGTCTTTGGTATTTAATTCTTCAGATAATTTGACCCCTTCCCTGTCATTTGCATTTTTACTGAAATGTTTCTTCTTAAATGTGTCTTGCAGAGTTTTCATGTTTATTCCTTTTTCCCCTCTCTCATTGTATAAAAGACAAAATGTTTGATTAACCTACCATCAAGTTCCATGAGTTTTTTCCAACCCTCAGCCTACTTTTGACCTACCTACCTCTTTTGTTTTATTTTTAAATTTGACATGTCTTTCTGCTATGGGTTTTACTGTGCAGTTCAGCCTGGTTTTGAACTCACTTTGTAAGCCAGGCTGACCTCAGACTTGTAGTGATCCTCCTGCCTCAGCCTCCCAAAAGCTGGGATTACAAGTGTGTGCCACCATGCCCAGTTTTTTTTTTATTTTGATAATCATCTTTTCAAACCTTATTTTCTTTCTGTCTTCTAATATCCCTGCCCCTTTGACATTTTCTTTTTGTGGATGCATTAATATCACATTTTTAAAAATTCTGTGAGCATGCTTTTAACAGCTACTTTTCTGTCTACTGAGGGCAACATCTGTGGCTGTGCTTGGAGTCAGCGTCTCTTAATTTTTATCCTAAACTTAATTCCACATTATTGTTTTTTTTTCTTGTTCAATTTTGTTGTCAAAACAATGCATTTTGAGCCATGGATATAGCTCAACTGCATAAGCACCTACCTGCAAGTGAAAGGTCATGAGTTTGATCCCTAGTGCTGGAAAAAAAAAAAAAGATTTTTTTTTTCTTTTTAAAAATATATTTAGTACAAGCTCAACAGGGTCTCACTACACAGATCAGACTTGTAATGATCCTCCTGTTTTCAGCCCCCCAAGTGCTGTATCACCATCTCCGAACACCCTGGGGGTGGGGCCTGCATGGCACAGGATTGAATCCCTGTACCTGTGACTGTGTAAGCAGGTGCTTTAGTCTGCTGAGCCAACCCTTTCAACAGTGAATTTTGAGAACCTCCTTAATAATATGGTATAGTGAATGGATTCTTTTTCATTGAAATTTGTTAGGAACTTTTAATTTTGAATTTAATTTCTGGTGTGTTTGTAAGTCACTTTTATGAAATCATAGACAGATTTGTAACTATAAGATTTAGAGTAACATTATCATCTTTTTATTGGGCCTGTATTTTCTAATCAAGGAATTACTTTCTTCAGTTTTACATGTTTTGAGTTTTGCAAATGAAAACCGTGATTATTTGGAGTTAATTCAGTATATGTCGGTGTAAATTATCATTTATTAAGCAGCTATAATGTGTAGTACTAAGCATTTTATATACCTCTCTGGATTAATCCCTACACTAACTTTAGCATCCACATTTTAGAAATTGAGAAAGTTGCTTTTAACACAAATTCTCATAGCAAAGATTTTGGAACTATTAAAGTGCAAAATATTCTTTTTTAACTTCAGAGTCCTATTTCTTTTGTTCTGCCTTATTTTTTTTGTTCACTGTTCTGCCATTTTATTTATTTATTTATTTTTATTTATTTATTTATTGCAGAACTGGGGATTGAACTCAGGGCCTTGTGTTTGCCAGGCAAGCGCTTATTCTACTGAGCCAGCTCCCTAGACCTTGTTCTGTCATTTTTAATATGTATTTTTTTAGAGTGGGGGGGTTCTTGATTAGATTTCTTTTTTTTCTTGATTAGATTTCAAGTTGACTTTGGTTAAAATTGATGTCCATTAATGGCTTATTATGTCATACTATACTACTTTTTTTAAGAGAGAAAGAGCAGAATTAGGTTCTTTTTGTAATCTGATTCTGTCTTGAAAGATTGCCTTTGACGTTTTGGTGAATTACTAATTGATCATGTAGAAATAACATTTCAAGTGTCAGAAAATGAAATATTCTTATAGTCGATCTGATAGCGTTTAAAACATCTAATCACTTCAGTACCTCTGTGAAAGTGCTTTTTTTTTTTTTTTTTTTTTTAACAGTCTAGAATTTCTTTTGAAAGTATTTGAAAGTTGTATTTTCATGGCAGAAGTTGAACTCCTGAATATCAAAACTGTTACATCACAAAAATCCATTTAGGGATCCACATTGAATGAGGATCCTCATTATTCCTCTTTTCTCTTGATATTACCACTCCTTTATATCTGCCAGTTTCCTTTGCAGAATACAGCTGTTTTGTTTTTCAGGGTGGGAAAGCCACTGGCAGTGATTCAGGTGGTGTCATCGATCTCACAATGGATGATGAAGAAAGTGGATCTTCACAAGGTACTCAAATAGTAATGGTATTAAGGAATACTGTGCTCTCATTTTTCCATATACTGAAGTATTCTGTGAAGGCAGATTTCTATAGCATTATGTTTAGTATATTTTTATCCAGTTTAAAATGAGAGTTTCTAAAATTGCAAATAAAAAGTAAAAATCAAATCTTGAAAAGGGTCTGCGCAAGGTATAAAGGAAAATAGGAAAGCAGTTAGAGAGCACTTTTCTGGTTTTGTGTATATTGTTTCATTTTGCCCTTGTACTTGTCATACTCCTTTTAGAGTTGAAGGAACTTAACAGTATTTAGAGATGATATGTCAGAATCATAAGGGGCCTAGTAATAAAATGTAGATCTTTTGACTCTTATATAAAAAGTTGTGTGTTTATATGTCTTCTGTAGATAATTCTAAATGTGTATGCATTTAATTTTTTTTTTTTTTTTTTTTTTTTGTGGAACCGGGGATTGAACTCAGGTCCTTGCGCTTGCCAGGGAAGCGCTTATTCCACTGAGCCATCTCCCCAGCTCTATGCATTTAATTTTGATTCTTTTAATTTCTTTAGCATTTTTTGAGTAAATATGACAGTATCTTGAACACTGAACAGTCTCAGTATTCTGAGTTATAGTATTTAGAAAATTACTAGGTAAATATTAAGCTCTACTCCAGTTATTCTTCTACATTATTAATAGTTTTTGTATTAAAAGCTCCATCATTAAATGGGAAATATTGAACTAAATTTCCGTGGGGATTTTTTCCTTAGACTTTTCTGAATCTCTATTGTACTGTAACACTTATAGTATGTCTTTAGTATGATTCAGGATATAAAGTATTTTACAAAATTGAGTATACAAAAATCACGGAAATATCAGTGAAACTATAGCAATCGTGATGCAGTCAGAAAAATCTAATAAGGTTAGATGGTAAGTTATCACCCCTAAAGATCATGGACTTTAAGAACCAAAAATGTTACAGTTCATATTTTAGTTTGTTCTGTGAAAGTTAATATCTATATAGTTGATTACTTAATAATAAAGTTGTTTCATTTTGATTTTGTAAATCAAGATGGGAAATTGGTAAGTGTATTTTATCCATTAGGATTGAACTCATACCGGTATGATTATTCTTTTAAGAGTTCCAAGTTACCTGTATTGCTTTATTATTTTCTTATGGGTATATTTCTCTAGTGAATCTCTAAAGAACAAAAATATATATAGGTTATTTTTGCAAGGACACAGACAGGACTGCTTCTGGATTAAGAAATAAAGTAAGCAAAGTTACTTTCATTGCTCTGGAGATTTCACTCTGTAGTGCCCAGGACTTCTGGTGCTCTTTCCATTGGCTGTCTTTGGATTTCTCTCTCAATTCTCCCATTTCAAAGGTACATTATTCTTCTCTAACACCAGTAGTATTAGTTGTTAAAGCCTTAGTTTTATTTTCGTTTTAGTGAGGAATTCCAAAAGACAGAATCCTATAAGCATTCATTTTAGATAGGCTTTTGGCTTCTACCATTTAGTGCTCTATAGTGGTTTCTTTCAGGAATTTCTCTTAAGACATATAAACATTTACTGGATAGGCATTTGAACACCTTTTCATAAGTCTAGACATTGTGTGTATATTTTACTTTAGAGACTAGATAGTAATGATAAAGTAGCTATTTGTGTTAGCAAACAAAACTCTACAACATTGAGTAGTTGAAATTCAAAACCTCAGTGAAAAACTTGTCAATTTACGGTATTTGTTTAGGAGGATGACTGATACAAGTATGTAGATAACATATTCAGGTAAGCAGCATAGCTAGTAGCATAGTATATTGAATCAAAACTAGTTTTCTTAATTAGAAGAATTCTTATAAATGTGAATTAGAATCCTTTAGAAGAAACAATGAAAATATTTAAATAGCTCCTGGCATGGATTTCAATTCAGAAAATGTGATATCTAAGTAGTGAGTAAAAATAAAATTCATCTATAAAGGAAAGACCTGTGTTTTCTAAAGTTTTCTATATCATTAATCATAATAGCTCACTTTTAATTAACAGACTCCAAAAAAATCAGTCACACTCCTGTATCAACTATGGGTTCTTCTCAGCCCATGCCTCGACCATTACAACCCATCCAACCAGCACCACCTCTTCAGCCATCTGGGGTACCAACAAGTGGACCATCTCAAACTACGATACACTTACTACCTACAGGTAAAATTTCTGAATCATGGACCAGGCTTTAGTTTTTCCTGCAGAGAATTGTGACTGGAATTGAGTGGAAAGATAAGACAAAAAAATTAAGAATAATTCTCATTGTTACTTGGAAGATCAAGTATGTCTCTTTGAATGTAATGTAACTTAGTTTTGCTGTCTTAAGTAGCAGTTCTGTAGAGAATTGCTACAAAGAAGATTTAACCTCTGTGTCTTTGTCATCTGCCACTGTGAAGAACAGAAATGATGGAGTTTCTCTGGAAGAGTTGGTTAAAATGATTTATTCTATGTACAACCAAGACATTATAATTGATCAAACAAGAATTATTTAAGTGAGTCTTATGTTGAATTTCCTTTAATTGGCCTAACACAATAAGGAAGTAAATGCTAATACTTTGTTACATTTCAAGAAATTATACATCAAACATTTTCAAAATAAAGCCTGTGTCACCAAAACTATTTAGAAGCCAATCAAGAAAGTTTGTTCTGCATATTAGCTTCTGCTTGGAGATGTATCTGCAAAGTATGCATGTAAGCACTCTTTTAATTAAGGAAAACATTCAGTTAAATGCGATTTACTTAGTGAAATTTCTACTTAGAATATCAGAATAACTTGTAGGAAAAGGATTATTTTCTAGTGACTTAATAAACTATTTGATAACTAGACTTTCAATTATGGAATTGATTTGGAGGCAGTAAATCCCTATGGTTTGGTGTAGTTTGTTCAATTTTAACATTCTAAGTGGTTATCCAGTATTTGTCATTTAAACCATATTTTACTTTATTGACACTGCAAAGCAAAACTGTGTGTATGACACCACTGTGGAACAGTTTTTGTATTGGTTTTCCTATTGAAATACTGTATTGAAATTCTGTCTGGGTAGGCAGTTACAATTAAATGTAACCTTCAGAGCACTGTACCTATTTCTTTGCATTCATATAAAGTTATGATGACAGTTGTCTTAGATATTTTAGAAGGAAATGTGGTAAAATACATGAGCATAATGGAGAGAGAATTGTTCTTTCTTGTATGCTTTCTTCCCTCTTCTGAAGGCTGACATTGAAACTTAAGAGATACAAAGGCTGAAGTATCTTTAGAGGCATTTATTTTTAATTTTCTGGTACTGGAGATCCACCCTGAGACCTAATACATGCTGGCAAGCATTCTACCACTAAACTACATCCCTAGACTGCAGGATCTTTTTAGTAAACAGAAGTTTTAATTATTTTATTATAGATTTCATTTTCTCTGTGAGGCATGATAGCTCATGCCTATAATCCAGACCCTCTGCAAGTCTGAGGACAGAGGTTCACAAGTTCAAGCCCAGCCTGGGCAGCTTAGTGAGGTATTCTGTTTTAAAATAAAAAATAAAAAAGGCTGGGCATGCAGCTTTGTCCTGAGTTGGGTTCAATCCCAAGTATTGGGGGGGGGGGGAATGTGTGTAAAAATACGTAGTAAATTTTTATGACATAATTATCTATGAAACGTAATTCTGATTTAGAGTTACTGACAAGAAAATATTAACTCTTAAAAGTCACTTTTATTGCTGGGCATGGTGGCACATGCCTGTAATCCCAGTACTTGGGAGGCTGAGGCAGGAGAATTTTCACAAGTTCAAGGCCAGCCTGGACTACATAGTGAATTCAAGGCCAACCTGAGCTAACTAATGAGACTGTGTCTCAAAAAAAGCCTCCCCACCACCAAAAAAAAAAAGGTCATTGCAATTGTCAGGCCTGGGAGCCCTTACCTAGAGTCCTCTCTATTTGGGAGGTTAATACTGGAGGATCACTTGAGCATAGGAGCTTGAGACCACTCTAGGCAACAGACTCCCATCTCTTAAAACAAATCAGAAATATCATAGTTTTGTTTTTTTTTTTTAAGATGGGTCTTGCTATGTAGTTCAATCTGACTATAAACTTATTTGGTAGCCCATGCTGCTCTCAAACTCATGTCCTTCTAGCTCAGCCTTTCAAAATGCTCTAATTACAGGCATGCACTGTTACACCCAAAATTATATATATATATTAATTCCATATTGTAAGTAAATGTTTAGGACTCAGTTGTTAAAAATAAATATGTTAACATTACTCCAAGTATGCTCTCTGGAACATAGATACAAAGAATGCTGAAACAAGGGAGAGGCAGACAAAATATGAATACATTAGGCAACAAAAGACATAGGTTGGGGGGTGCAAACATATTAATTGAAGTAACCAGCCACTTTCATGGTCTGTGGGAATGACAATATAATTTTAGATTTATATGTCCTTGGGAAAAGGCCCAGATAGCCAGTAATTCTTCCCTACTAAGAGCACTTCAAAATTGAAGAGGAAAAAGTTACTTTTTTAAGTCACTCTTAAAGCAGGTTTTTTGTTTGTTTGTTTGTTTTGTTTTGTTTTTGTATTTTAGGGAAGGGTCTGCAGGGTGTTCAGGGTCTCACTACTAGATTGGATTCGTAATGATCCACCTGTTTACAGCCTCCCAAGCAGTTATATTCTTAAATTTAGGTCCTTTTTAAAAAATGTTCACATGATTGTCATCTAGCCAAATTGGTGAGTTAGAAGAGAATTAGATATGATTGAGGTACTTTTTTTTTTTTTCTGAAGCTTGGATTTTAATACTGTTAATTTTGTCAGCTCTATCATTCTTCCTTACAAAATTACAAAGGAAACTGAAAGCTCTCTTTCCCTGTTGTAGTTAATTAGACTTTATACAGGGATAACTACCATTTAATACTATTTGCTTAACATAATATCTACTACATCCTTAATATATTTTTCTGCTTACCACTAGCTCCAACCACAGTGAATGTAACACATCGTCCAGTAACTCAGGTGACCACAAGACTCCCTGTACCAAGAGCTCCTGCAAACCATCAAGTGGTTTATACCACTCTGCCAACACCAACAGCTCAGGCCCCACTACGAGGAACTGTTATGCAGGCTCCTGCTGTTCGACAGGTCAATCCTCAAAATAGTAAGAGACTTTTTTCTTATACATGGTTCTGAAGTATAGTAGTTCTCTTAAGCATTTATTTGAAGTAGCTTGTATTAGTATTAGATTTTACAAAAAGTTATTCAATATGTGAAACACTTACTATATAAGTTTAGACCTATTATAGAACATTGTTTTACAGCATAGTTAGTAACAGTGAATTGTGTACTTAAAAGTTGGTAATGTATACATTAATTAGCTTGATTCAGCCATTACACATATTCAAAACATAATGTTGGATATCATGAATGTATGGTTTTCTCAAATATAATTTTTAAAAGTAGTCCACAAAATCCTGTTATTAATTCACTTTTCTCCTCTTTAGAAAGTTGAAGTGGATAAAATTGAACACGTGTGCTATATGTTTAACTTTATGGACTGTGCTATTTGATGTTGGGATGTACTTTACTGTGTTAAGAAACACCCTATCTAATTAGGAATAATCAAATGTTGCTTGGCCCATATGATAAAAATCATGGTAAAGTATAACTTCCAAGGGAAGAAAGTCTTAAAGATATAAAAGGTGGAAAAGAAATGAAAATATTAGAGAAACTTTGTAGTTTCTTACATATTTTTTCTATTAGTTGTACATGTGTGTATGCATGCATGTATATAGGTAATATGTTACATATATGTTGTAATATATGATATCCTTATATACACTGTATATGTAAATATAATGTATGTAAATATATATTAGTAAAATGTATAAATACAAGTTTATGTAAAAGCTGTATTTAAAGTTTAAAGAGAAATGATAAAACAAACGGCCTATGAACTCTCTGCGAGGTTTAGAAATAGAACTTCGTCCATAGTCTCTAAGCATCCTACTCTAATCTTCTTACTGAGCCTTTTCCCTTTACTTTCTGCTGTTTTTCTCTATTTTCATTCTTCACAGTTATATCACCAATATGCATATATCCCCCAAAAACCCATGTATATAAATGTACACGTGTGTGTGTGTGTGTGAGTGAGAGAGAGAGAGAGAGAGAGAGAGAGAGAGAGAGATCTGAAAAATTTGATAGGACAAATCTAGCTATATAAAGAAATTATAATAATATTAGATGATAGTTTCCAGGAGAAATTAATCTGTGTCTCTGGATTAAGAATATAGCTTGTTAATGATTGTGAATGAGTTCTGGGGAATGCAGCACAGTCAGATGCTGAGTATATGGCTGAAACTGTAGATCACTCTAAGTCTTCTACTTGTGTAACTGTGAGTATTTCACAACAGTTTTTGGTGGTATGAAATGAACATCTTTAGTGGATCAGCAGAGCATGAAAAGAAAGAAAAAAAACCATAGTGATGTAAGGAAACAGTAACTTTTTTGAGCTTTCTGGCCTCATGCAAAGTGTGAGTCAGGAGGGGTCTTTATAAAGACCACTTCCATTTGTCTCTTGAGTCACAGTGCTCCTTCTGGCTTGTTTGACGTCTGCATAGGTTGTGCAAGTGTTGTGGGACTTTTATTTGTATCTCTCCTAGTAGGGATACATATATTTTTTTCTGTATAGAACTCTGTACTTACATTTCATATTTTCCCTCTTCATTTTTTTTCTCATATAAGTGGCACATATTCTCCAGTGGTTACCTGAGAAAAGGGTTCATGGACTTTTTTTAAGAACATATTTTCAAAAACCTACATGCAGGCTGGAGAGATGGCTCAGTGGTCTAAAGCACCTACTTAGAACAAGCTTAGCAAAGCACAGGGACCACGGTTCAATCCCCCAGCACCACATGCCAGCCAGTCCCGCCCCCTGGTGGACTGAGCTGGACACACACACACACACACACACACACACACACACACACACAAATAAATAAATGTAAAAAAAAAACAAAAACCTACATGCATGCATGTGCACATGCACGCGTGCGCACACACTCACACATACACACAGTACTGCATATGTAAATATTCTTTGTCCTCACACATAAATGATACTTTGGTCCAGTGTAGACATCTAAGTTGGAAAAATGTTTTCCTTTTTGGTTTTAAATATATTGCTTCACTGATACTAAGTGTTTAGTCAGTGTTCCACCAGATTTACAGTAAAATTCTGATGGTTATTCCTTAATTCTCCTTTGTAGGTGTTACTGTTCGAGTGCCTCAAACAACCACGTATGTTGTAAATAATGGACTAACCCTGGGATCAGCAGGACCTCAGCTCACAGTGCATCACCGACCACCACAAGCGCATACTGTAAATGTTGGTGCTTGCTTTACAAAATTCTGGACTATAAAAACTGTGAAATAACTTTTAAATTAATTTTATTGATATTATTTTGATATACATGAAAGTCACATTCATTACAAGGAATTCATACTTGTACATAATATATCTTGATGCTTTTTTCCCATTCCCCCTCTTCTGTTCAAATTTTTTTCCCTTCACTATTTATAAAAGCTTTGTTTCTGTTTTTTTTCCTTCTATTTTTTTCCTCTTTCCTTTTCCCTCCCTCCTCCCTTGTTCCCTTTCCCACTTTTGCAGTTTCTTCCTACTTGCCAGTATCTATCATTCATTTTGGTCTTCATTTGCACTTTCAGTTTCCTCAAACAAGAGAAACAGTGAAGCAATTAAATGTATGTCTGATTTATTTCACTTAAAAGCGTGGTCTCAGGGTCAACCAGATAGCTCAGTGGACTAAAGCACCTGCTTAGGCAGATGCAGGGACCAAGGTTCGATCCCCAGTGTGCCGTGCCATCCCCACCCCCAGGGGAGCGCTGAGGTGATTGAGACTGGGCATGGTGGTACACACCTATAATCCCAGCACTTGGGAGGCTGAAAACAGGAGAATCACTGTGGGTCCGATGTATGTAATAAGACCCTGTAGATCCTTTACTAAATACATTAAAAAACAAAAATGGTCTCAAGTTGCTTCTATTTTCATAAAAATGTCTCAAGACTGTCCTTTATAGTAGAGTAGTACTCTATTGACATAAAGCCACATATATTTTTTTCTTTATCCATTCATTTGATGATGAGCATCTGGGCTATTTCCAAAATTTGGCTATTAGAATTGTGCTGCTATAAACATGGTTGTACATACGTTGCTGTGATATGAAGCTTTTAACTCTTGCAGGAATACACCAAGAGGAGGAATAGCTAGGTCAGATGGAATTGCTAGTTTTAGTTTCCTGAATCTTTATACTGATTTTCATATTTTTTCATATTAATAATACCAATTTATATTCTAACCAACAATGGAGAAGAGTTCCTTTTCTCCCACAGCCTTGCTAACATTTATTATTGGTTGATATCTTCATGTGTTTATTCTTTGTGGAGTGAGATGAAATCTCACTGTTGTCTTAATTTGCATTCCTCTAATGACTACTGATACTGAGTGCTATATGTACTTTTTCATTTGAGAAGTCTATTCATTTCCATTGTCCATTTTTTGGTTGGGTCTGTAAGTTGGAGTGCAGGGTTTGATTTTTTTGCATTCTTTATATATTCTACATATTACTTCTTTGAAGACTAGCTGATAAAAAATGTTTTCCTTTCTGTTAGTTGTGTCTTTACTGTGTTGGGGATTTCTTTTGTTATACAAAAGTTCTCAATATGATGAGATTCCAGTTGTTGCTTCTTTAGGAGTCTTTCTTATTTTATCTTCCAGCAGATAGTTGATTTCTGTTTTAATAGTTAGATCTTTGATTCATTTTGATTTTAATTTAGTATTATCTAAGTTTAATCTTGGGCACTTAGAAAGCCAGTTTTCTTATCATCATTTATTAAAGAAGCTATCTTTCTTCTAGTGAAGGTATTTGTTCCCTTTATCCATGATAAAGTTGCTGAGGGGAAGTGGAGTTATTTCTGAATCTTCTAATCTGTTGCATTAATTCTCATGTGTGTATTTTTTTCAAGAAGCACAGTTTTAATCATGGAAACTTTTTGGTATAATTTCAAGTCAATTATTATGCTACCTTCTTGCTTTAGTTACCTAGAATTGCTTTTGCTATTGTAGGTCTCTTCTGGTTCCAAGTGAATTTAGCATGTAGTCTACTTTGGAGAATGTCCCATGTGTCCCTGAGAAGAATGAGTATTCTGTTATGGGTTGGAACAATCTGTAGGTATATACTAAGTCTATTTATTCAAAGATTGACTTCTGTAGTGGTATTTCTTTGTTGATTTTTTTTTTTTTTTTTTTTTTTTTTTTTTTTTTTTTGTCTAGTTGATTTATTTGTGACACTAGGGAATTGAGCTTCCTTCTTACAGTTTTATTAGGGTTTATTTGCTTTTTTATGTCCATTAATGTTTGTGTTTATATTGCTGGGTTTGCTTGCATTTGGTGCTTAAATGTTTGTGAATGTTAGCTCTTCCTCTTGGATTGTTGCCTTGACAAAGATGTCGTAACCTTCTTTGTTTTTTCTGGTCAATCTAGCTCAGCGGATTAAAGCACCTGCATAAGCACACTCGGGGATGGGGGTTTCATCCCTGGTGTGCTGTGCAGGCCCCACCTCTGGGACATCCTGAGACAGGGTGTGGTGGCATGCACCTGTACTCCCAGTGCTTGGGAGGCTGTAAACAGGAGGATCACTATGAGTCTAATCTGTGTAGTGAGACCCGTAGACCCTGTACTAAATACATTTTAAAATTTAAAAAAATCGATTGTCTTACTTTTTCTCCTTGTTGAGACAAAATACCTGACTCCCAAAGTTAAAGAGGGAAAAGTTTGTTTTAGCTCACAGTTTGTAAAGATTTCAGTGTATAACTAGCTGGCTCCTAAAGATAAGAGCGTACCTAGCATAAGGGGCAGTGGTTCATTGTGGCAGAAAACAGCAAAAGCATGGGGTGGGGGGGACAAAAAGACAGATAGACAGATCGACCATAACATCTACGTTGTCTCCAAATAGAATAGCTACCCCGACTTTTTTTGTGGGTTCCTGTCACATGAAGTGTAGTTTTCCATCCTTTGTTTTTCAATCTATGATTTTTTTTTTAATTAAGTGAGTTTCTTGTCCACATCAAATTGTTGGATCTTGTATCTTGATTCATTCTGACAGTCTGTTTCATTTGATTGGTGAATTGAGACCTTTTTACATTGATGGATTTCTGTAGAATCCATTGTGATTTCGTCCTTTTCATTCCTAATTGCATGGACTTGAGGGTTTTTTTTTTTTTTTTTTTTTTTTAATAAGATTAGCTAAGGGTTTTTCAAATTCACAGTACTAACTCTTTGATTCATTGATTCTTTGTATTGTTTTCTTAGTCTCCCTTATCTGAATTTTTGTTCTGCTATTTGTAACTTCCTCAGGTGAGCTTTGGGCCTGACCTGCTCTTCTTTTTCTAGCAGCTTGAGTTTCAACATTAAGTTATATATTTGAGCTTGCTATGACTTTCTGATACAAGAATTCACCTCTATGACCTATGCAGGTAGTGTTTTGGGAGGATGTCCCTTGTGCAGCTGAAAAAAATGTGTATGCAAATGTTTTGGTATGGAACATTGTAGACATCTACTGAGCACATTTGTTTAAAAGTTTAGTTCAGTTATATTTTATTGCTGATTTTTTTTTAAGTGTGTGTGTGTATGTGTGTGTGTGTGGTAGTTTACCTATTTGTGACAATGGGGTATTATGGTCCTCCAATACAATTATATTAGTGCCTATTTGACTTTTCACGTCCATTAATATTTGTTTTGTAGGGGCTGGGGAGATAGCTTAGAGATATAAGCACCTACCTGGCAAGATCCTGAGTTCGATCTCTGGCCCCAGAGCCCTGGGTGTGCCATACTATGCCCTGGAATCAGGTGTAGTGGGCACACCTGTAGTCCCAGTGTCCAGGAAGTTGAGACAGGAAGATTGTTGCAAGTTGGGGCTACAACTGGCCTGGAGGTTACAAAAGTAAGCACAAGGCTGGCCTGAACTGCATAGTGAGACCCTTTCTCCAGAAAAAAAAAAAAAAAAAATTGTTTTATATAGTTAAGTGCACTAGTATTTGTTAAATGTATATTTATGATTGTTAAGTCTTCCTCATGTATTCTTCCCTTTATAAGGCTGTAGTGACCTTCTGTGTCTCTTGAAATCTACTTTGTCTACAAATAGAATAGCAACCCTTGATTTTGTTTGAGTTCTTGCCACACAGAGTATTGTTCTTTAACCTTTGATTTTCAGTCTTTGAATTTCTTTTTGTATTAAATGTGTTTCTTGGGTGCAGCATATTGTTGGATCTTGCTTCTTGATCCATTCTGCCAGTCTGTGTCTTTTGATTTTTGAATTGAGACCATTAACATTAATGGTTACAACTGATATATATTATTTATCCTTTTCATGTCATTTTTCTCTTTTTGGTTACCTCCTTCCACTCCTCTGTGTTTGTCTTGCCTGGTGGAGGTCCTTCTGTTGGGGTTCATAGAATTGTAGTTCTTGTTATCTGTAGAATGTCCTTCAGCATATTCTGGAGTGCTGCTTTGGTATTCATGAATTTCCTCAGATGTTCTTTGCCATGGAAGTATCTTCTTTCTCCAACAGTTTTGAAACATAATTTTCTGGGGTATATCAATCTGAGTCAGAGATTGTTTTCTTTTAGGGATTGAAATGCTTCACCCTAAGTTCACCTTGACCTGAGGGTTTGAGAAATCAATGTGATTCTGATGGGCTTTCCTGTATAAGTGGTTTCTTTCTTTTTTCCTAACAGGTTTTTTTTTTTTTTTTTTTTTCTCTTCTAAAACCAAGGATTGAACTCAGGCCCTTGGACTTGCCAGGCAAACACTTATTCTACTGAGTCATCTCCCCAGCCCCTCCTAACAGCTTTTAATATTCTGTTCTTGTGTTGAATTTCTGAAATCTTGAGTCATTAATTTATATGATTTGCTGTAGTCTTTTTTTTTTTTAAATCATGGCTAATTGGAGTTCTATATGCCTCACTTATGTGTGTCAAGTTCTTTTTCCCTGCCAGGAAAGTTTTCTGCTATGACATCTGTGAATAGGTTTTATTTAGTCATTCATTTATTTAATATCACTTTTGCTGTTTCCTGCTGTTTTCATTGACTCCAGTCAATCAATCCTATATTATTTTTCTTTGTATCATTTAGTAGTTGCTGGATTTTTTTTTTTTTCCTTTTTTTTTTTTTTTT